CGGTATTTACTTTTGAATTCCTCCTCAGATGATGGGCGATAAAGCGAAGCATCCTCAAGATGCTTTTTCGTTATCTCCACGTCTAACTGATGAGGAATTACGACAAACTCTCCACCCTTATCACTTACGGAAAGTCTTATGGTTTTCAACCTTATCAGCTCTCGTACATCTCGCAAACCACGTCTTTGCACTGGAGTGAGGTTTGAGCTGTATCTTTTCACGCGATAGTGATAAAGGACTTTGAGAGTTTCATTCGCAAACATCCGAAATTTAACATCAACTTCATTAAGACGTGTGGTGACGAATACATTGGGGAAACGGGTAGACCTCTCTGTGTCCGCATGAAAGAACACCTAGCCGGCAAAAATAGACCAAATACCCCGCTAGGCACACATAGGACCCAAAGACATAACGGAGACGACTTCGAAGTATGTGTCACGATCCTCGCACGCGAATCAAGAACACAGGCGCGAAAAACTCTCGAGGCACTCTGGATTAATTCCAGAAATCCGAAAATGAACCGCAGAGAAGAATGCCTCATTATCACGCGTGATATAAGGCAGTATATAAAACTGCTTTTCTGATGTGAAGGGCACATTATACTTCCACGTGATTTCTGTGCGGTTGGTCTCTACGTGACATAGTGGAAACCTCATAGAAAGCAGTGAGTGTGCAAAGCTGTGTTCAAAGTGATTGAAATCTTGGTTTGGAGTTTCTTTGTTTGGTTATGGAGGCATCTGGCCGAGTGGATTGCTATGAACTTGACCATTCCAGGCTCTGAGGAAGGCGAAATCCGCCGAAACGTCAGCTTAATCGTGAGCAAAGAATAATAACACCTCGCGTTTGCTCAAAAAAAAATACGAACAAAACCACTTGATCAATGCCGAGGTTAATAGAAAGTCGGTCGTGGCAGATACACTGTTTATTAAACGCTTTAAACGCACGCAAAATATGGTCAACGCAATCGGAATATTTTGGGTGCTCCTTATTTAAGAGAGAATAAAGCCACGTATGAACAGCTTGAAATGCTAGAAATACGCCATGAACCATCCTCAGTCAGTCAGTTGACGAACTAAAGTTTTTAATGCTGTCTTTGAAATATCTAATCGCGATGTGATAAACATTCTACCGATCCAAAATGGCTGATAACTGCATATGATGTTCACCTGGAAACACGCCGAGATACGTCTCGTGAATTATCAAGAGAAATGTGTTTATACTCTTGAGCTTACACGAGGCTGATAGAGATTTTCATCCGGCTTAACGTTTCCACGCATCAAAGACGAAGATCTGATCCGATGGTCCACAGTTGTTCCTTTCCTCGATATGGCGTCTTCGTCATCGCATCGAGTCCGATTTTCCTCAGTGCAACACCTCGAATGAAGCATACTCTTCCTGCAGTGCTTTTTTACACGAAGCGGTTGTTGTCGATGATATGATTATCCGTTGATAATAATTTGTTTTCTAACAGACAATTCACACTGTAGCAGCCAGTATTTTGTTGGCTGGCGCACAGCGATTAGCAAACCAATAATTTTGAAACCGACCATCATTTAACCCAGGCAGTAATGTAATCAGCATGTGTTTATATCGTTGAGCTCATACGTTTTTCGATTCGGCGCGTCGAGAAGAGGACTGTAAACAGAAGGAGAGAAGAGGAATAACTGTGGACCATCGACTCGGATCGTCGGCTCTGATGAAGACGAAGACGTCGAAAGGTTAGCCGAATAGACATCTCTATCAACCTCGTGTAAGCTCAACAATATAAAAACATGTTGATCACCCTACCACCGAGGCTAAATGACGGTCGATTTCAAAATCGAGAAAAATGCTCGCTAAGTTCGCGACAACGTAACAGTTAAGTAAACAGAACGGTAAGCTCGTGGGGCTCCTGTTAAAAACGAGTAGCTCAATCATCAAACATCAAGTGGGATAAATGATAACTAGCGCAGCGAAATTTTGAATAAAACATGATCGAATAAACAACACGTGATCCACGTGTGAAGCTTATAAATGGAGGACAATCTAGTGATTTGACATCGTAAAAACGCTTACCTAGCTGGAGGACTTCTCCACTGCCGACTAGGTGCAGTACCGTATCCACTTTCTCGTCCTTCACCACTTCGCCGCTCCCCTTCTTCCGAACGCGGAAGAGGAGGAGAGTCTGTCGAAATCCTGAAGAGCATTATGCATATTTCTTATTTAATCACTGAAATTCTGCACTTAGAACTGTAAAATTTACTCTATCCAAGAAGTACTGCGCGCATAACCCTATACTTTTGCAGTAATGCTAAAAAAAGAACGATTTATCTATTCTCCACGGATATACACACTCCTTTCACCTCCATATCTAAAAAGCCGCAACCTTGGTGATGCCTACCTGGCGAGTTCGTGATCGATACTGCCCTGATCACTGCCATGAGAACTGAACTCGTTTGAAATATTCATCAGTGGTATCGGTGGTGGACGACACGTCGGTGGCGGTCGACGGCACGATTCTCGCACAAACGACGAACTACTTTCCAGACCTCCATACTTTTTGTGTAGATGCGACCCATGAAGTGCTAGAATACTAATCGATTAAATGGATTAAGGTCTACTACGTATGCTTCAAAATCTTGTTTTCAAGAAAAATTTCATTAAAAAAAGATACAAAAAGCAGATGTACTGAGAGTGGCTGCTACATATACTCTGGTTCCACCATATTTCTCTATATTCTTCTACGCCATTATAAAAGCGAGATCATCGCCATGATTTCGCATAGCTTCTTCGTTTTGTACATGCGATTTTACAAAACAATACTGAATTAAAATAGATCCATAGCTTAATCTTCTACGTATATTTTCAGATATTGGTTGATTTCTGCATTTGTATGTTAAATTTTTTAATAGTTCTTTTTTAAATCTCATCGAAGAAACCCTTAGAGACAAAAATCCAACTAGTCCAGCACTGAAGCTCAAAATGGTAAACAATCCCTAGAAGAAACACATACGTGAAGAACAAGCACTACTCTACTTTGAGCTATCGAGGAATCATTTCATTCATCTGTATCTTTGTTCTATGGTAGATTAGTCCAGTAGATGCTTCTCTTCGAGGCTACAAAAAAAAACAATATTTCTAAGAACTCCTCGACGAACCTTGACTGTTGTAAGAACAGTTTATCAATTATCCCTTTAACATCACGAAAAATTGAAACAGTGTCGTTTGAACGTACAACTTCTCTCATAAACGACGTCACCAAACCTTGAATCTCCACAGCAGTTGAAGTTCCAAACACCTTTCTATGAAGGACAACATTCCTAGTGCTAGTCTCCGAGTTTCGCATTCGAGAATGCTGACATTCCCATTCCGCCAACGTAACATCTAGACTCCTTTCCAAGTTACAGTCAAGCCTCCTACATTGAGCCAAAAAGTGGGCTGGATTTAAATATTTCCTATCTTTCTCAATACTTCATAAATGCTTTTCAAGTCGCACGATTTTTCCTTTTCGGCTCGGAACATGAGGCATTCATCATTTTCACTTCCTGAACCATATTCACCTACTCAAAGCAAAAAGGAAAAAAGGGAAATTAAAACTCATTCGGTTAAACGTAAATTGGGTGTCTCGAACAAATTGATTCGCACGAACTTCGCTTTCTTTAATCACCGTTCCACAGTCGTCGAATTCCGTATAGCCAACCTTTGATGTTATGAAAATGGTATCATCAATGAATAAAAACGGTGTAGCTGATGGAGATCATCTACCAAACTGGCAACGCTTCGTTGGAACCCTATCGTTATGTAGATGTTGTGAATCGAAGTAGGGTAAGGTTCACGCGGCAACTTACTGATCCCTTCTATGATAGTTTGCTCAAACGATTTCATCCTCTACAAGATAAAAAGCAAAGATTGTCGAGCAAATTTATAAATCTTTAGCCTCAGTACCGTCGTTTTCCCACAGTTTTCACTGGCAAAAAAAAAGAAGGAAAAAATCAGTGAGAACGAAGAATGAGAATAAACTGATTGGTGCAACCACAATGGTGATGAAATATTTGCAAAACTCCGGACCGCCGCTGTCGGTGATGATGAACGAACACGCTACTACCCTTTTCGTGGGCTAACGCGTTCACCACTACACAATGCATGCATTTCGCTTGTCTCTAAGCTAGTTCTCAATCCCGTTGACGGCTGATCGCTGACGGCACTGATATATCTGGCCTTTACAATGATTCGCGGTCGATCGATAGAATTAGCTGGTTCGTTCTCCACTGCAGACACCCGCTGTCCTGAGTTTTGCAAATATCTCACCACCACTGTTTATATTTCTCACAATACCCTGCTTAAAAAAATGTTACAGGCCCAAAATCTACCTCGAGGTGGAATTTCCTCATATGACTCCGTTGGTGACATGGCACATCGACCAACAGTGTAATATGCTGCCGAATCATCCCGTAAACGTAGATGAAGAGTAGTTGAGGTACACGAGCGTAGAGGAACTGGCTTCACTGAGGAAGAAGTCCCATAAGAACTAAAATAAACATATTATTAAGGTTAAAGTTCCCAATTTTTTTGTCATCTAAGAACAGCGAAACTCCTGTGCAGAATAGCAACTACTGCCTCACCTAATGAGAAAACAAAAGGATTCTCAGAAGAATGGCAAGTGAAATCTTGTACCTTGCGCCTTAGACGACTTAGCCATAAATGAAATTGAGAAGTGTTTGCAATACAAGAGCCATTTTGTACTTTTTTCGCATTATTTTTTCTTGTTCGCTTCCTGAGTCTCGTTTAGTAGACTCATCTTTAAAAATGGCCCGGAGTTGGTTTGAACCCAGCATTATAGTAGCAGCCAGGTGGTTGCAATCGCAGGAAAACTAAAGAAATCCCACCTGTTTTCTCCGCTCTCCTAGGCAGTATTTCTTTCAAAACCACATCTATCCGCATCTAAGAAAGAACTCTTCAAGCGTTTATTTTCCAGAAATAGATTTTGTGTCGCTATTAGGAGAACCTAGTCATTCACGAATCACGCAGTTATAAAGATTTCAAATGCTGTTGAGTGTCTTTCGTCTGGCGTACAGCTGCAACAGTCCCTATATCGTAACAGTAACCGATCACGACAGTAATTGTGATCGATGGGTCGGTTAGACAGCAGAACCCCAGCAAGCAGAATGTCACTGTTATCCATCACAAATAGCGGACGAGTTTTATTGTACGAAATAAATAAAAACTGACAGCTGCTCATATCAAAATAATCATGCGACTTTGAAAAAAGAAAAAGTACTTCAGCTTATTACGCCGATTTCGACTACCCACTTCTCAATACATAACCAGTTCCATGATTCATTGATTGACAATGCATACTTTCAAATAACAAGTTACAAGGTCTCTTTACTTTTCATAGACGAATTCAAGACAGTACAATGACGTGAGTCACATATGAATCATGAAGGGTAGTCAATATATCAAAAGGTTTCTTGAAAACCTGACCGAATTTCTCAGCAAATCAGATCACGAGGGCACACTGAACCAGTGGACACGTCATATCTCCATGTTTTTGTGTGCTATTCTTTTCTTCTTTATAAAAGGATAAAGCCTTAGGCACTCACCAATCCCTGAGGAATGCGCCATGCATTGGACTTCATTAAGTATCGTCGGAGGTGATTGAATGCATATCTGGCCTTTACAATGATTCGCGGTCGCCTATCGATGTATCGAGCCAATGCTGCTATCCGTCCTGATATGTCTGCTACCAATTTACCGACCCCGGAGGGTTGGAAGGCTTGGTGGGCCATGGGTGCAGAGATCGATCCCGCGTGCGTGTTGCAGGGCGCCTCCGACCACTACACCACACGCACCCCTATTTTTTTAAGGGCTAGAAAAACTTTTGACCGCATTGTGTCGCGATTCATACAATAATTAGGTAAAAAACCAATTTACTAAATGTAGATGTGAAATGGCAGTGAGGGCGGTTGGTGCAGTGCTAATAATACCGATGGTTACGAGAACAGTGTTCGTTGACTGAAGCTGACTCTGGGGTTATCATGCCTCTCATTCTCCGGTGTTGCCAACTTAGCAACATAAACATCTAAACATAAAATCGGAACATAAACGACAATCTTAACCTTTTTATTTACTGCCTTTTTTTCTTTTTAATGGCAGGGTATGTTGCGAAGTATAACTCGTATATAATGCTGAGATATTTGTAAAACTCCGGACTGCACGTGTATGTGGTAGGGAACGAACCCGGGCTGTTGTCCTTACAAGGAAGCAGCGCACATCACCACCACACCATCCGGGTCCTTCGTTTTGGCTGTCTCTCAGCTAGTTCTATCGATCTTTTTGCCATCAGCTGGGTTCAATGCCGATTTGGGCTCCCCAGACCAATCCCGTTGACGGGTGATTACTGATGGCAAAAAGATCGATAGAACTAGCTGAGAGACAGGCAAAGCGAAGGACCTGGATGATGTGGTGGTGAAGTGAACTGCTTCCCGGTGAGGACAAAAGCACGGGTTCGTTCCCCACCACATACACCTGCGGTCCGGAGTTTTGCAAATATCTCAGCATTATAAACGACAATGTTCAAATAGCATTCGAACCCAAATGCAAAAGTTTCGAAGACCTCATTGGATGACGACTGCGAGTAAGAGAATCAGATGTAAGAAGTGGTGGAATACGCGTAGGTGATGTGAAAATAGGTAGTGTAAAGTGAGTAAGTAAATTGAAGTAAATGTGGAACCTAATAATGTACGACTGAAGACAAGCAGTTAAACAATGCGAATAATATATCTTCCCTTATTTAGTTTCATGGTTGTTTTTCAATCTAAATCTAAACTCAACAGAAACTTGAACCTCTCAAAGAAGTGAAATCCGATAATGGTGAGGGATACGGTAGCACTTACCGTATCGTTCCAGGTGTATTCTGGTAGGCCTGATTATGTGTTGTTCCATTGCAAACTAGCACACTCGTTGAACCCTAGTAAAGCAAAAAATCACATAAAATAAAAAAAAAAACGCCAACAATTATTGCAATGAAACTACTTCAAGGCCAGAAATCATGTTTAACGTTAATGATTTAAGATTGAACATAAAAATGGTTCTTAGAGATTTTCAAAGCTTCGGAGATACGATTAGGAAATTACTGGCATATCAGGTTTTTTCCGCAGACTGTCTATTTTGTAGAAATGGTGCCAACATCAAACTTAAGAGCCGTGGAATTGATTGGGTAAGAAACAATATGGTGCTCCAATTTTATAAGATAAAAAATAGGTTGACTTCGTCTGAAGAGTGAAATTCTACTAAGAGCTATTCTAAGACATCTAACTACTTTTATTTTAGTTTTTAGACCTAAACAATCAGTTCATCTTCACTTAAACATTCCTTTGGAGTTTGTTTTGACAAATTTTGTCTTTCCCACTTATAACAAGCTCAGTTAACTAGGGAGTCAAATTTAGCGAAGAAAGTGATAGTGCTTTTTGTTGGCCATAAACCCATAGGCCTGAGTAATCGCTATTTACTACCAGGCCTGTCATTTAATAGCGAATCACAGCGTAACTTCCATCGTACGATATTTCATTAGTTTAGCAAAAAAAATCATGAAGACCGCTGACCTTTGTCGACCAGAGGAAAGTTTACAATGCCAATAGAACATCCGAAAATTTCGGATACTTTTACTTCTAGCCGATTTAAAGCAGGTATTGATGTAATTTTAAAAACAGAATTTGCGCTTCACCAAAAGGAACACATTATTCCTAATAAGCCAATAAATGTCCGTTATATCTGGACCTCTTAAATGAACAAGCATTCCTATTACACTGGCATCAAATTAAAAACATAAATTAGCTTTATAGTCAATAACCACGTTACACCCACCGAGCAAGAATTTTTCATTGAGTTATACGTCCAAACATTATCGGCAGCAGTGAGTATTCCATCTGATGACGTAGATTTTGTTGCCTTACGACGAGATATACCCCTGAAAAATCATATATTTCCGATTCGATCGATTGCTATCGTTTATGTCTTCCCAACAGAATGTTATCCAATGGGAAATCAAACATAATTATACCTTAGTTTTTATTCACTGCCTATTCCTTCTTCATGGCAGGCTATGATGTCAAATACAATTACAAGAATGCTGAGATATGAGCAAAACTTGGGTCCTCAGGTGGGCTTTCAACTGCGATAGCCTAGTTAACGATTATTCCCTATAGTAAAAAAAAGAATATTTTTTTTATGTGACCCGTCTTCACGTCTACTGCGCGGATCCCAGCACTTCTCATATTCGATTCGTTCCCTCGCATCCATTGTCGACGAAGATCTTCCAACTTTTACGTGTGGTTTTGGTTGCTGCTTGAGGATTTTTATTTAATCTTGAATGTCATAGAATTCTGGTCGCCCCATTCTTCCTAGAGTTCTGAGATAGCTAGGCTGAAGTGTTCCCAATTGGATTGCAGAGAGTGATTTTTTCCCAGACAAGTCCGATACCAATTTCCCGACCCAGGAGAGATGAGAGGCTTAGTAGGCCCGAAACGGGATCGAAGTAACACAATACCCGTGATAACTGACGTCGCTACCGCTGTGCTATCCGCCCGCCTAAAATATAGGTGATAAGTAAAAGCAAAGTATTGTGATTTTGACTGCAGCTTCCACTTAACTGGATTTAAAGGCGAAGGTATTCCACCTGATGTATTCAATCTGATATTTGCGCTCCCTAGACCATTCCCGCTGAGAGTGAGAGGGGCTGCTGACAGCACCGTTACGGTGAAAAAAAAACTTGCAGAAGAAAATGCAAAGCGAGGGCCTGAGTGGAACAGCGGGTAACATGCGAGTCCCAGGAAAGGATAATCAAGAGTGCGAAGCTCACTTTGGGTTCCGCGTTCTGATCATATCTCAGCATCATTGTGGTCACATTTTTAACAAAATTATTTTTTTTACCACAACGTCCAATAAAACATTAAAAATAAAAAATGATTGCAATTGCCCATAATTGAAAACTATCACAACACATTGATTATTCGAGAATAGGGTGACAACGAAGACATTCTTTTCTGTCTGATATGTTTAATTCAAACATGGGAGTAAACGGAAAATCTGATCGAGAATCAGTCTGTTTCATGGTTCATTGTTTTAAACCTTCATCAATGAGAGCGGGTAATGCTGCAGGCGTGAACCCGTATTACGCTGACGCAGCAACCTACTCAAGCCTTGGTTCGAAGCTGCTACAAACCATTCAAGCTTCTCGTCACTACAGAGACGGGATATTGCTAACAAAGTTGTCTCCACTGTGCTGACTTTCTCCAATCCAGCCAAGAACGCCCCAGCACTGCTATCTTAGGATTCGAAGAGGCAAACCACTAGACTAGCATTCAACGACATTCGTGAAGAGGACGGAAAAATTCTTAAGAAACAGCCAAACCCACAGGCAAAAACTTCAAAGGCTTTCATAAATGATGGACTAGAGGAAACGAATCGAATGCAAGAAGTGCTGGAATCCGCACAGTGTGATATGATGTCGAACAATTTAGCAATAATAATAACAGACTTCACCAATCAACTTCCCCACCAATAAGAGGATTTTCATGAATCTTAGCTATGACTGAAGATCACTCCACTTCTTGTGGCCGCCGGCTCGTAGACCTCTCGTCCCATTTATCCATTAAGCATATTCTCGAAGAAAATTTCCGCGCTATTCAATAGGTTATAGAATTGTGCGCTGTTGAAGTAGTTAGTCGGTTGAATGAAAACTAGCATTGCCGACAAGAGCAGCATCCAATCGAACTCATGTTGTTCAGCTTCCTCCAAAGACAAAATGGGTCTCTTTCACGATGACAGAGATCATTCAGTTATCTCAAAATGTGGGGAATTCGTGAGATATCGTTCTCACTTTTCCTTCAAAACCCCACATGACATCTAGGAATCACCGAAAAAAAAGAATGTAAAATTAAATAAAACGACAAACCCGTCAAGAATGGAGCAATAAAATTGTTCACGAAGATCCTAAACGAAAAAAGATAATCTTCCTATTCTTTGAGCAAGTTGAACCCAATGGCTAGCTCTCCTCCACTACAGGACCGATGGAGGCTCTATTGACGCCCGCACTAGTCCGTCATAGATCAGTGGATGGACAGGTGGCTGAGTGATGGTGATGATGACAGTACAGGTGATGTTAATAGCAAGCTAATCTTTGAACAATTGACCATAAATCGAAGTGTTATCGATTTTTAACTCGGCTCATTTAAAGACCTTTGTAATACAATTTCCGACTGTCGAATTTTGATCGACGAGATGACAGGAAATAACTGCCAACTATTTTTTGAGCTTCAGCAGTGAAAAGTTCAATTACGTGCGTGTTTGAATTCCAGCTTCTCCGGAACGTTGGCCGAACAAACCTTTTGCACGAACCTCATGTTAGATTAATAATCTAAAAAATTAATAACCATTTTTGGCGAAGTTATGTGATGGCCAATTTAAAATGAACTGAAGAGTCGAAAAGTCGCAATATGCTGCTTTCTTTCTGTTTTATATGACCCGTTTTCACGCCTACCGTGCGGATCCCAACACTTCTCACATTCGATTCGTTCCCTCGCATCCATTGTCGACGAAGATCGACACAAGATGTCGATCTTGTCGACGTCGACAGAGCACAAAGCGTCTTCCAACTTTACGTGTGGTTTCGGTTGCTGCTTGAGGATGTTCATTTCATTTTGAATGTCGTAGAATGCTGGTCGGCCTATTCTCTCTAGAGTTTTGTGATAGACGCTGGAGCGTTCCCAATTAGATTGCAGAGAGTGGTTTTTTTTCCCAGACAAGTCCGGCACCAATTTCCCGACCCCAGAGAGATGAAACGCTTGGTTGGCCTGGAGGTCAATCGAACTAGCGCCATGCTCGTGATAACGAATATCACCACCACTGTGCTATCCGCTCTTTTCTGCTGCTTTCTTTAGATATTTTAAAACGAATAAAATTCTTCTTCCAAAAACCAATTTGGAAACGTAAGCTACATTTAACTTCTTCAAATGTTAAAGCGCTTTCCTTGACTTTTCCTTCGCAACGCTTTTTTTCAACCAGAGTACCGTTTCTGTCCAGAACTTCGTCTAATCGTCTAAATTTGACTGTCCAAGTTCCAATCACAGAAGGAGAAATTGGCGGATAATTTGATTATATGCTTTGCTTCAAATTGTTCCCGCTTCCATGAAATGCGACAAGAACACAAATTACTTGAATTCCAAAGTGTAACCTGATTCAAAAGAAAACAGCTACAAGATCGTAGTTCACAAGAAATTTGGGACCTTTCCAACGTGAAGTTATCCAATGCTCTGAACGATCTGAATAACTAGATTTAATTACCTAAAAGCTCCGACTACGAAGTTCTTAAGTACGAAATTTCGCTTAGAGTCTTCAATATTAAATACCCTAAGCGCAATGATTTCAATGGTCACGTGCAGAGACCCTTTTACACCTTTTCCTTCTAAGCAAAAATGTCTCAGTTCATAGTGTGTAAACCTTTGTTGGCCATCACTGCTTCGTTCTTTCCTTGCATATTACCGAATCATCGCCCCTTTCGCTCAAGATTTGCCATATCGCGAAAAGAAGAGAAGTATGCTAAGCACTAAAAGTAAAGTCACGGACCCCTCCAAATATTTGGAATTCCTTTTACATCTCTGACCAACTTATGTGGAAGGTGCCGTTAACGAAATCTCGATCAGGAATATTTAAGAAAACCCTAAGAAAAGTGGACAACTTGAATATTGCTAAGCTATCAATCATTCCCATCCCATTAGACCTGATATGTCAGCATAGGCCAAGAGAAATGAACATTAAGAAACTTTAAGTTTATTAACTCCTTTATTTACTGCCTTTTTCTTCCTAATGGCAGGGTATGTTTGCAAAACTCCGGACCACAGGTGTATGCAATGGAGAGCGAACACGCGCTGTTGTCCTTACCGAGGAGCAGCGCACTTCACCACTAGCTGGGTTCAAGGTGGGTTCAATGCCGATATTGGCTCCCCAGATTAATCCCGTTGACGGGTGATTGCTGATGGCAAGAAGATCGATAGAACTAGCTGAGAGACATGCAAAGCGAAGGACCCGGATGGTGTAGTGGTGAAGTGCGCTGCTCCCCGGTAAGGACAACAGCGCGTGTTCGTTCTCCATTGCAGACACCTGTGGTCCGGAGTTTTGTAAATATCTCAGCATTTCATACGAGTTACATTTAAGTTTATTTCTAAGCTTGCAAAGGGCAACAAAAAGCGATGGAGGATAGAACAAGTTGAAGCCGTAAATTGGCGGAATGATTTTGCAAAAACTCGCAAAACAGTTTGTTAAAATAATTTAGTATTTCTTCTTGAGCAAACACGAGATGTTACTTTATATTTTGTTGACAGAAACACTGATAGTTCGACGGATTTCTTCTTCGTCAGAGCCTGGAAAGGTCGAGCTGCCTGCAATTTACCCGGCTTAACACCTCCACAACTAATCATTTTAGCACATAAATAGGTAATTTGGTAGTTAAAAGGCAGATAGCTTGTTAATAAAAAGTACCAAATGACCTTGCGATGACCTTCTAACAAAGCTAGAGCCGAAATCGAGAAGGGGTGGCAGGAAAAGTCGACAAGAACTCCTGTTCCGATCCCTTCGGCGGCCGTGTCCACGTGAATCTCATTAGATCGAATGCGCATACCATTTCTTACAGTCATCTACTCATTTAAAACTAGTTTAATGCCTGTTTTTAAATGTCACTTGTGATAGTAATTTAAGATACTCTTTTTCACTACTATTTCTTTAAAAAAGTACATTTTCCACACTATGGTTTTAGTCGACTTTAAATTGTCTTGTATATACATGTGTGTACAAATATGTATATGTATATGCATATATATATATGTATATGTATATGTGTACATATACATGTAAACACCTTCAAAACTACTACCGATATTATCTCAGTGAAACATCCGCTCTTTTCAGATGACGTTTTGTTTTGGTTACCGTATCCCCATAATTATAACGCAAAATGTATAAAACGTCAAGGACAAGTCTAAGGTCTCATATTTTTGTCCATTAAATCGTTTTTCTAGAGAAACAAAAAACGACTGACCGCCGCACACTATGATGATCGTCAGTCCATGGCCTCACCAACCCACTATGAGAAACGAATGCAAAAAATTCTAAACCCAGGGAAACATCGAAATTGTTTGGAATGAAATTCAATTTTTCGGTTCTTGGTTCTATAAAGTTTGGCGCATGAATAGATCAGCGGTTAGAGGTGCTCTGCAATACATGTGTGCATATTGGTTTGGTCACGGGCTGCGGCCAAACCAAGCTCTCCACTCATGTGGGTCGGAGAATTGATATCAGACATATATGGAAGGATAGTAAACACTGACTTGATGCATCGTTAGCCCACAAAATTCATTGTAGAGATCGCATGTCACTTACTCATTTTAACGATGCTTAATGGAGTTGAATGCATGGTGCACCTAAAGCGGTGGCTAACCCTAACGTTATTATCTTCATGAGGGATAATGCAACATAGCACATGGTATAACAGCCCACACGGCATTTGCGACTATCCTCTTGCAAACACTACAAAAACACATTCACAAACCAGCCTTCTGCGATATGTCTTGTGGAAGCAAACTCGTCTGCGAGTAATAAAACCTCTATTACGAGTTAGTTGACCCAGTAAGTTACCAGTGGTGAAAATCTTCGTTTACTTCTTCACTTCATGTAGCATCCAAAACCGCATGATTTCTATAGTTTTTGATCAATTACATGACCGTAAGAAGTGTGGTGTAATAAATAAGAAGCGTTGCTAAGATTTTTAAACCTTCAAACCTACCTTTTAATGCGACAAATTACGGTGACGCATAGTGAGAGAAAAATCATCGAAGCGATTATGGAGATGACTACAAGTGAACGAATGGAGAGTGGAGTGGATGAGATTTTTGATGAGACATCCGTTATGGTAATGAAAGGACCCCATTCACAATCGGCTTGCTAAAAAACAATGTAAAGAAAAAGTGTTAACGACAGAGGTTTTTGAAAGCAACAAAGATATTATTTCATTGTGAAAATGAGCATCTTTGCTCTTTCATTTTTCGTCACGACCGTTTTTGTTCCAGACGGAAAAGACTTCTAGTGAATTAAGACTGTCAATTTCGCCACAATGACGTCGAGATATACGTAAAATTCCGGGCGCAGGTTTCTGCAGTTGGGATCGAAAACGTTATTACCTTTCAAGGGGCTAACGCGTTCACCACCACACCATGCGGGTCTTTTATTTCGTCTTTCTGTTAGCTAGTTTTCTGTCTACCCTGCCATTAGCAATAACCTGTCGATGAGATTGATCTGGGGAGCACAAATCGGCATTGAACCCAGTTCAGCTGATACTGCAGCCGAAATCACAGTCATTGTGGTCGTATTTCACATAATATCCTGCCGTTAAAATTGTAGAAGGCAGAAAATAAAAAAGTTACCACTGTCAATTCATTTCTCACTTGCAATTCAAACAAATAGCAAACCAATAGTGAGAATTTCCTTCTTTTTCGCAGAAAATCTATCGCAATATTTCGAATCTCCAAATGGTCAACAGGAGCGCGAGCCTATTGCTCTCTCAGAATTCTTAAAAACAAATCATTTCTAACTAACGAGGTACCGGTAAAATGGTATTATTTCTGATGGACGACTGCACGATTTCTTGTGAAGAAGTGCCATCCCTGCATCAAGTAGTATTAGCATGACCAATCTAGAGATTAGTGTCTTAGTGTATTCGAGAACTTATTTACATAAGTTCTTCAGTTAATGCAGAGTGCTCCTTACATGATTTATATGTACCGTATGTAACCCACTTATTTCACAGTAGTCATTGGATAGATGGATTAGTGACGGCAATCCTTATTTGGACAGTAATAGTATAGAATCCGTTCGTGTCTTGGAGAAGTACGGATTAAGAAAGAGAAAGACAGCAAGAGCCAACTAATTTGGAAAAATCTCGACATTTGGGAAGGGAGAGACTAAGTCGTTAAAATTTCGTGCTAGGCCTATGTTATAATTCTGCAACAGAGGAAACAAATAAAATCCGAAGGCAACTTTCTGCAGTTTCCTTCCAAGCTGTTAGAATTGCAAATAGAATCTTCCAAATTCAAGATTCCGTATACGGTGGAATCTCTGCGGGAAAGATTTGCGGGAAGTGGTAGTAATTCTGTTCACTGGTTGGGAAAAAACAGATGTGAACCATTTTTACAAGTCAGGTAGCCACTACGGTATGAAGCACCACATCTGTTTCGTGTCTCAGCTAATTGAATTCTTCGGCTTGATCAACACAACTGAAGCTCACGCCGAGAGCGAATTTGCATACTATGATGTATTATGAAAGGCATTGTGAGGACGAATTCATTTCAGGGCCACTCCCATGGGAAAGAATGCCAACGAGTGCTGAAGCTGAAAGATTTTGTTTTGCAGCGAATCTGTCACGAATGTAGAAAAAGGAAGACGTCGCTTTGACACGAGATGTTTTACTTCAGTAAGAATATTGACGAAAACTTTCTATGGAACTCTTAAATCCGATTCAATCCCTAGCAGTAAAAGAGGAAAAAAGGGAGGAAGATGTCTTAAGATAGGAAAAACAACCGAAATGCCTTGCTATAGCAAAAATTGGTCGTAGGCTCATCTTCAGCCATTAGACCCAAACCTCTCCACATCAAACGCTTCTCTACTGCCAAAATAGAACGACTAAAGGAAGAAATCTTTTCGCAAACAAAGCATGGACCGAAGAAAAAAGCGCTGTTCAGATGTGAAATAAAATACGGTTTTTCCAAAGAAAAAACACGTTACTACAAATCAACGAAGATAAAAGGTGATAAGAACACATTTCTATTAGTATTGGATTCAAAATCTGAAGCAGTTAAATGGAGACTTCGGCAAGGGAAACACTCAAAAACCATGAGCGAATTGTTTAGAAAATCGAAAGCCATTACACTAAATGAGATTCAAAATTCAGATCTCAATAGCACTGGTAACTTCTTTTGTCAACGACATATCTATGATTCGATTGTTTCCCTCGCCATGAAAGAGAACCTCATAAAAACTGAATAATTTCTTCTACCTTGTTTATTGTTTTATTTTTCATACAAGCTTCTACGGATATCCACTTCTATGAAGAAAACTAATGGCATGGAAAAGCATACCGGCTCAATAACATCATCACTGATGAGATTCCAAACCAATGAAAGATCTGGCGGCGGCGGTAAATCAAAGACGGGCGGTTGAACGAGGCATTGACACGACATCATACCATGAAAGATCACCTATAGGAATTCACGATTACCGTGCACGGCTCTCACTGTACAAAGAAACGACTACGAGAATCAGATGATTGGATTGTGAAACGATGACCAGATGAAGAGAAACAGTCGACGAACGATAATGGTAATCCTATAAATAGATACTACTCAAAGCAAAGAAAGGACGTCGAAAAAACATTTAAATAACATTGTACCGATACAGAGACTCGAAAAGGTAATGAATGCTTAGCAACGTCGAGTAGTTCACGGTCACTTGCTCGACCCACCCTGGGCCAACCGACCACACTAACTGACCCTGTTCAGCAAATTGGTGTTAGAACAGTTCGGAAAAAGCTCCCCGATCCACAAAGACTGGAGTCGGCCACTGGAGATGACCTGAAAGCGCTTTGGCAAAGCGATCCTAGGACATTAGAAGGAATCAATTCAACACTTAACGACTTTCATGAGGAAGACCAATTTTACAAATAGTGCGCGACTATGCAGATATCTAAAGCCCTTCTTGAATTATGCTTAAAAGGTGGCAAGCCGAAAAAGAATTACTAGAATCTGCATAACATGTGAAAGTGGGTTGTTCAAATAAATAAATAAATAAATTGGCAAAGATTTTCAGGTCCTTGTAACTAATTAGAACCATGACAGTAATGTCATCAGAAAGTCGTAAGGTAACTGCAAGTTTATATAAAGATGGAAGTCTCACCGCTAACTTAGTTACTTGAATATTACTGAAGTCTTCTAGGACCTGGTGAATCTGGCTTGTGATCAACTGATTTTGAATACTCAACTCTTTGAAAGGAGTCAAAGATGGAGAAGTTAATGGGTCCTGCATAGATTCCTGTAACATTCTCAGTTCAACAACTATTGCGTGACTTCCTCAAATATTCTGGGATGGATACACATCATGTCGTTTCACATTGTCGAATAGACTAGATTTTCACTGAATCAAACGAAATATATGAACGAATGTCTTCCACTAAGAACACGTTAGTCGTCGTCTGATACGATCGATGAGGTTTGTAGGAGCTTCTTTTTTAGCCGCATAACTGGGTGATCCCAGGAAATACACGGTTTTGGATTTGAGCAGTTATTCCTCAATTCATTGTAAAATTATCTAAAGAAAATAAAAGCGCTTAGGATCTACACGTTTCAGAAATGAAGGACAACCATTCGAATTCCATAACAGTAAAATTCTTAGTTTGGGAAACCGCTCGAACTTTCTCACGCTATTTTCAGCTGGCACTTCACCGTTAATGATTTGATTCATTACCTAGTTTCTGAGATGATGGAGAAAGTAGTAGTGAATTTGTAAGGGTTTCATTGAAAGTGCTAGGATAGGGGCGTCATCATATCCCAAGTATTCAAACTCTTACAGCGTTCTTCTTCGTCACGGCATATTCGGACGTTTTTATGTAATACAATCCGTTCCCAGCGACCGACAGTTGTTGTCAACTGTGTCTCGATAGTACTGTATTCTAGACTGGCTTCATTAGGATTGAAGAAGTTGTAAGACCAGTCGATTATGCCTGCCATGTCAGAAGAAGCAATGAACTTTTCTTATGATGTAAATTCCAGCCTCAAGAAATGCCTCAGTACTTTATTTTTTGCATTTAACCGATTACTCTCATGATCGAATTTCACAATGAGACAAAAGGAAAGTGTTTTTATGGTGCAGAATGATAATAGGACAGGTCTCATAATAGCGATCTCTTGGTGACATCCAATTTTTGAGTACAGCTGTTGTTTTGCTTATGCCTAGTTCTTCCTTAAGCTTTCTAACTATTGGGATTCAATTTGCTTCAATTAACGTCTTCAAGTGGTCATTGTGGATGGCAGCTGGTCGTCTGCAGCGCTCCCTCTTCAGCTTCATGGCTCTGTTCACCAGCACGAAACTTTTGAAATCAAAGCAGCGTTAAACTCCCGTTAATGGCTTCCACGGCTTCACTACCGAATTCGAATCCAAATGAAAAACTATTGAATCGAAAGTAATGAGAAAAAATTAGCGCAAAACTCTAAGACGGAAGGAACAAATAAGGACAAAACGTTGAATAAAAACGATGTCACTGAGTAGCTTGATAAATGAAAACCTACCTCAATTTACAAATAATTCAATATTTCTAAAGTTTGTAACCCATTGGATATTTGTTGGGTCTAATTGAACTAAGAGAAAAGCGCAAACTACAAATCTATGGATTTCAGATGTACGACAACTGCGTTATCGAAAGAAAAACGCGTTGCTCGAAACGCAAACACACATATGCGGCCCTCTTCACAAAGGAAGGAGACGCAACGAAGAGCAGCAAATGGTGCCGATTTTGTAGGTGGACGGTATTTTACGATTTTCATTCTATAAAAGATCACCACATAATCTCTAATGATTCACCACCATTCCAGCGATAAGCGATGTTCATTGATGTGGAACTACGATGTGCAGCACGGAATTCAACCCCTGCAGGGTCGTGCCGTTTGAGTGAGAGGACCCCGAATTTCCGCTCAGAAACTAATTTAGGAAAAAGCGCATATAACACCAGAGCCTGAGGTGATAGACATTAAAAATAAAAGTGATTGCGCCAACATTGTGTGCGCTGTCCTGTTTTTCGTGTTATCGGGACTTAAGGTGGATACTTGACGAGCGTCAGAAACGCGTAGAATGTACTGAAATCACCTAGACTTATCCGATCGTTAAGAAGATAATAAATGATACAGTTGATACGCTAACGAGACCTACATAATCGAATTAGATGGAGTGTTACCAAAAAAAAATAATAAAGAGGGAAAATTCTAGTTAAAGCGTAGAGAACAAAACATTTATTAGAAAACTAAGGTCATGTCTAACTAGTGCTGGTTCGGATTAAAGAGAACGAAACAGTATTGGCATAAAATGAAAACGACAATCAAATTGCTGAAAGTAAAAGAATCGAAGCAATAGATGAGATCAAGCACTAATAAAGCTACAGCTTATATTGGAAACGTATTTGCTACACTACTATGGGAGAAGTCACCATTGCTGTCAATGTTTTCACACTGCTAAGAAAAGTCATTTGGAAGAGAGACACTCTCGGTGAATTTAGGCTGATTGACGAACAAATTCAAGCAAGGAATGGCTACGAGAATTGTCCGCGTCCGGATGAATGTGGTCATTTACTAGGATAGTCGGGTCATATCCTGACGAGTTTAACCATTCTGTAGGTCAGCGCGAAGGAGTTTAGTGCGGCAACGAGTCTATTGAGGTGCATGGACGTTTCGTCCTTGATGAGTGCGGTTTGTATTACCACACAGACAGACAGAGGAGACGCACATATGAAATGAACCACGTAACGACAGACAGATTGAGATCATTGTCCCGATGTAATTGACGACAACGAGAACGAACACAACAATCTTCTGCTGCTCGAGACTGGTCAACGTTATTCAAGAATGTCACTGAATCATCCATTTAGACCATCGCTAAGCCAATCGATTGCGATCGGTCCAGGTCGATTTGTATAAGAATACTAGGGCTTTATCTACTGGTTATTGTACACACTTTTGAAAAGTCGTTATTGGTAGAAGCCGTGGTTTCTAACACAATCAGGACTAACAGTGGTAGACCGATTGGGACAGTTCAAGACGTTCTCATTTGATCATTGTCGATAGACAGCACCACAATGTGTACTGGACATCGATTCAAACCAATTCAAATAAGATCACTATCATGTTATCCGTCGATTATTACAAGCACTTTTGAAAAATTGCCATGACCGCGATCGACCTTCACGAATCATGAAGAAACGTGCAGGCCGTACCACAATTTCCATTTGGCTGCTAATTTGTTGGTTGAAAAGCATTTTCTTTCATTGGAGTCCCGAAAACCATACAAGGACATTCGCAGGTAGTCAACACTTACCAGCTAATGACTATGTTATTGCTAGAGCGCCAGTGGTTCCTGACACTGCTTTGCCCCTAGGTGAGATTTCGGATGGACATATCAAATTCCTTTTCAGCCCAGAACTTGCTTGGACGATTAATCTCTGTTGTACATCATACTACAATGCCCAGAAAAAGCTTCACAATCACCTGGGTCCGTAAATCATTGAAGGAATTTTTACTACCCCATTTTTTTTCAAAGGACCCATCTTTCATTTATACAGTGCAGATGCCAGCAGTGCAACAGCATTTGATTCGCTTTCTTCCAGCCATAATCCTCCGAGTCTTCCAGCTTTCGCGTGTGGGTACGACTCTTGCTTGACGATTTTCTTTTTGTCATGACTGTCGCTGAACGCCGGTCTAGTCGACTCTCTCTGGAGCTATATCAATACAATGAACTGCAGAGAGCAAACTTTTTCCAGACGAATCTGGGACTAATTTCCCAGCCGTGTAGGAATGAGAGGCTTGGTGAGACCGAAGGATCGAACAATTGCCGCGCTCGTGATGATCGTCATCACTACGATTACGTTACCTCTCTTCTTTATTATCTCATTATTTCTTGCAGTATACACAAGAATGACGAAATCCAGGAAAAATGGTGGAGAAGAAAAAATACTTCGCAATATCTGAAGACAGAAGAACAAAAAAATATTAAAGGCAAAAAACGGTGGCCACTGAGACTACAACAGGCCGAATTTAATAATCGAGAAAAAATGAAGAATTTTGAATGGCGCCATTCATCTAACGAATATTTCGACGGGTTTAAATGAGGTCACATTGAATGTTTAAAATGGAAGCATGAAAAAGATACTGTAATCCATATAGATGATCATTATTGATTAGTTTCCTTATGGAATGCGTCTTTTATAATGTATTTCGTTTCCTAACTTTAAGGCAGGATTAGAGTTCTTTTAACAAGCACTTTGGGTAATTTTTTGAGCTATATCAATACAATGAGACAACTACGTCTTCAGTGAATCCCTCAGAAATCGAATAATCGTGTAATTCCGAACGAACTCGTTAACAAAGACGAGAGAAAAAATCGAATTAGAGACGGATTCTCACGGAGACGTTAATAAAATTATCAG